AGAGAGAGAGAGAGAGAGAGAGAGAGAGAGAGAGAGAGAGAGAGAGAGAGAGAGAGAGAAAGAGACAGAGAGAAAAAGGGGAGGGAAAGAGAGAGCGAGAGCGCGAGAGAGAGTGGGAAGGGAGGGTAGAGAGATGAAACAAGAGTAAGGGATAGCAGAAGTTCCTTTGAATACTACATCATTCTCTAACGTGCCTAGGTGGTCTCTGCTTTTCCAAACGCATAATTCTAGTTTCTGCTTCTTCCAACGTATAATTCTAGTTTCTGCTTCACCCAACGTACAATTCTAGTTTCTGCTTCTTCCAACGTGTAATTCTAGTTTCTGCTTCTCCCAACGTATAATTCTAGTTTCTGCTCCTCCCAACGTATAATTCTAGTTTCTGCTCCTCCCAACGTACACTTTTAGTTTCTGCTTCTCCCAACGTACAATTCTAGTTTCTGCTCCTCCCAAACGTACAATTCTAGTTTCTGCTTCTTCCAACGTATAATTCTAGTTTCTGCTTCTCCCAACGTATAATTCTAGTTTCAGCTCCTTCCAACGTACAATTCCAGTTTCTGCTTCTCCCAACGTATAATTCTAGTTTCTGCTTCTTCCAACATATATCTCGCGCTCGCACCCACGTTCCGGGGTTTATTGGTACTCACCGGAATGTCCCATGATCGCCATGATCTCTCCGCCGTGAACCTCAAACGAGAGGTTGTCGAGTATTCTGCGCGACGTCCTCTGCTTCGGGATTCTTCCTCCTTGCTGCTTGCTCTTCACCTCGTGCGTCAGATTGCGCAGCTGAAGGTGCGGGTAGGGTACGGCGCGCAACGCGTCGATCGAACCCAACCCTTGCCAGCTATTCTCGAGAAAGCCCCGACTCTTGTGTTCCTCGAACGTGTATCGCTCCTCGGCCGGTCGGCGGTAGTTCGCCGGATGCGTATCGTAGGCGAGGTTCGACGACGTCGGCTTGTAGTAGCTGTCGGCGGCGACCTTGAGATTGGCGTTGACGGCCGACGCGACGTCGTCCTGGTAGTGACTCAGCGGTCGCTTCTTCGCTACGCTAGCGCTGATGCGCTCCCACGTGCTCTCCCATTGGTCGATGTTGCGCTGGTCGTGCACGTCGTCTGCGCTGTAAGCGTAGTTCTCCACACCTTGGGGCTGCGAGCGACTGAACTGCCGCATCTCCTCACGCCGCTCCTTGCGCTCCCTGGCGCTGATAAGGTGCGCCGTATCCTCGCGAGAAGGCTCCTCCAAGATGGCGTCGTAGCTGCGGCTGCGCTGGTAGGGCCGCTTGGCGTCGCCACTGGCGCGCTCTTCGCTGACGTCACCGCTGCTGTGCGCCAACTTACGCTGCGGTTTCTGCCACGGGTGCGCTGTTTTCTCGATGGGTAGATTGACGGAGGAGTATACCTTGCTCGAAGTAGCGCTCTTTGTCGCCAGCCGAGGCAGGCCGAACTCTATGTACATGTGTGGGTCGCTCTCAGCTGCAAACGCAGACGCCTGTTGGTACTTGGCGCTCGCGTGCAGTGAATCGACGGTCGACGGATCGAGATAGAACTCGCCGAAGGGCAGCGGCTGCATGCGCTGCATGGCGCCACCGGCGTACTTGGAGTTGACGTTCGTCCGATAGATGGCCCAGTCGTGCATGTCGTCGAGGTGGCGCTCGGACGTGTACTTGGTGTAGTTAGTAGTGTAGTTGCTGTGCAGGTCATCGCGACTGGTGCCTAGGACTGACAGATTCTGCTGACTGTAGTGGGTGAGAGGCGGGGGCGGCAAGTACCGCTGATGTCCATTGAGTTTCAGCATTGCGTCACTCACTGCAATAGATGACACCACACTAATTAGTTAATTAATTATTAATTACTATTAATTATATTTATTAATAATTTGGGCATTGCGTCACTCACTGCAATTGATAATATCACAAGTGTATAATATAGAGAGATAGTATAATATAGGCATTGCGTCATTCACTACAATAGATAATATCATACTAATTAGTTAATTAGTATAAATATACAGGTTCTGTGTGCTGCAGTAGCTAGGTCGAGTGTAGTGTAGTGACCCGAAAAGAAGAAGAAGAAGAAGAAGAAGAAGAAGTATATATATATATACCTAGTTTAATAATATATATATATATATATATATGTTTATAGTATATATATATATATATATATACCTATATATATATATATACCTATATTACAGATATGTATCTTTATATTATATATATATATATATATACATATATCTCCTCTGTGGCAAACTGTGCGATACGTATTTTATTATATTAGAGCATCTCCTTTTAAATAACCTCAGGCATCTATTTGATCTCTCATCTTCAACGTTGGTAACGTCACGCGTATAGTATGGCACACGGTTACGTCTATCCGTTTATAATTATAAGGCTCGGTTACACTATCAACTTTTAGTGAAAAGGTCTACCAATTGGAAACAAAATGGAGGGCAACTAAGAGTTGATTGTGTAAAGCCAGCTTTATAAACAGATGCATCGTCGCGGACGCGTGCCGTACTACACACGTGGGTTGCTTTCGCGTTTACAATAACACTGCTTTCCATAGATGAATGAACCACCAGTCGTGAGTCAGATTTTCTTGAACTGTGCATCATCTAAAACGTCGTTGTTGTGAGCAATTTCCGCCGTGCCAATCGCATGTGCCAACATTTGACTAATCGGCTAGACAAAGGTCGATCCAAGAAAAAACTACCTAAAGCTATTTTTCTATTGTTCGCGTGGTAATACCGCACTGTGTACACCCGCACTCATTTTCAACTCGCGCTTGCAGTTCCGGAGAAATGTCATTGACCAGAAATCTCGTACGATAGTTTGCTAATTGAGTGATCGTGCATGTAATGGTATTCTTCATTTCTGCTGTCAGTGCATGTATGACAAGCCACTTCAATGTTTAAAATAGCCAAATTATATTATGCGTTCTTACACTTAATGTGAACGTATTGGAATGGCGTCATGTCGAGTACCACTAGAGACAACGTAACCTGAGCGCAAGCGTCGGAAATGTTTTCGTCTGTAAGCACACAGTTAGATCAGGAGTGGAGACATAGCTGCAGCATTACCGTAGCATAACACGATCTGCGTACAAGGCGATCTAGATCCTATGCAACCTGTTAATGCGTCCAAACTATCTACTTGCTATCGCTAGTCTAACAGATGCAAAGTACAAAAATTAAAATTTGATAAAACTGCAATAAAAGTTACATGGGCTGCGCCCCACGTGTTTTCGGCCAGGTTTCGAATGATTTATCGGGGAGGTGACAACGGCTAAGTATATATCGACTATATAGCTATAACAATGCTACGCCTATGCTATTATCGGCCAAGAGGTCACACTTCGCGCCATGCAGCAGCAGCAGCAGCATCATTATACTTACTGCATGCTGAGCTTAGAACAAGGCATAACTAATAGTTTCGATAACACAACGACACACAACGAGTATATAAGAAGTATAGAGACAAGTAGAGTCCTAAGCACAGTCGGTGATGGCGTGACCTCATGCTCTCCTGACCTCTACCACGTCGCATGGCTATAGTCAGCACCAGTGATCGACGATTCATGCACGGCTATCATTAACATTATTCACACGAGTCATACGGTACGCCGTGTAACTACATTGAAAACTACTCTTGCGACAAATATCACATGCGGTTGACAATAAGACGACGCGGCGTGGGCGGGAAAGGCTTGGAAGTAGGCGACGGGTGCGCCAACAAACACGGAACATGTGCGCATGCGCGAAATCGTTCGAAACGTCTCATATTATTATCAGGAGTGTATAATATAGATATAATCAGGAGTGAATAATAATAGATATATATTCACTCCTAATAATAGATTATTATAATAGTAACAGATAATTATTATAATAATAGATTATTCACTCCTGATATAATATATATATCTCTATATTATACAATCCTGATATTATATATCACACGGCGGGATACCAGGTGCGGAACACGTTCGCAATGCTAAATATATTTAAGAATGTCGTCCCTATCACATCGAACGATAAAATATCTCAGCTGTGTGCTAACGCGCGCATGTCTTTGCGAGGTTGCTGCGGCATAACAAGAAGTTCAAATACATGTTCTAGTCGACATTTGTGAGATAATATCAACAGTGTGTATATATAATATATATATATTATATATATTATATATATATATATATATTATTACATTAGATAGAGAGATAATAGATAGATAGATAGATAGATAGATAATAGATGTATAGATAGAGTTAAGAAGATAGATAGATAGATAGATGTATAGATAGATAGATAGATAGATAGATAGATAGATAGAATAGATAGCATAGATAGATAGATAGATAGATAGATAGATAGATAGATAGATAGATAGATAGATAGATAGATATTAGATCTATAGATCTATGTTATACACTGCTGATAATATTTGTAGGTAATATTGTTCGACGCCACTAAACTATAAAGTTATCGATTATCTATACGCCCTCCCCAAATGACTAGTGAGTAGTGTTAACGACTAAATATGTCTCAGTCGAAATTGGCAATGAAGCTATTTTCGTCGTTGGCGATTTAAAAATATATTCGGCACACTAGACGTTTCAAACACGTGTTCTAGACGTGTCTCCGTAGTTTTTCAAGCAGCCGGACACGCGGAAGGAGTGTACGTAGATTGACGTTGGGTCGTTGTAATTTGCATGTAGGCGGTGCTCTTGATCATCAAGCTGAGTGAGAAGTAAAACAATTGTCGTGGAAGAGATTTACTGGCCAGAGGCGACATGAGTAATGGTCATCGCCCCTCTAAAGATCACTCTACCTGTTCTCATTATCCAGCCTGGTGCTCGTGACTATATAGCTAAGAACTGGGCTCGGCTGTAAAATTCAATGTATTGTATACGTGGCTGAAGACTTGCCACACGCGCACGCAGTCGGCTTTAGGTTTGGCTGACGCCCCAGGTTTTAGGAATGTGGGAGGGGTGAGGGTAACGTACGTGCCGGTTGAGTATATATGCCCGATTAGCTCTAAACCGATTTGGTTTAAATGGGTATTTTATTAGTATATAATGCGTGTGTGGCGGCTCGGATATCAGGCAGCAAATATCTGTGAGATTTATCAAGTATTCGGTGAAAATTATAGGTAAGAAGATTGCTTTGTCTATGTGTGAGAACAGTTCCAACATGTTAGAAAATATGATGTAGAAAACATATAAGCGAGAAAACTTTAGTAAAAATAAAAGCAAGTAAATAGTAATAGTAATAGTAATAGTAATAGTAATATTAATAGTAATAGTAATAGTAATAGTAATAGTAACGGTAACGGTAATGGTAATGGTAATAACAGGGGTGTTGGTAAGGGTAATGGTAAGCTTATTGATAATGGTCATGATAATGATAGTCGTAGTGGTAATGATAATGATAATGATAATAGTAGTGGTAAAAGTAATAGTAATAGTAATAGTCATAGTCATAGTAGCAGTAGTAGTAGTAGTAGTAATAGTAATAGTAATAGTAATAGTAATAGTAATAGTAATAGTAATATAATATAGTAATAGTGATAGTAATAGTAATAGCAATAGTAATAGTGTTAGTTCATGCATTTATTCTTAAACTACGCTAATCAATAATTCATTGATTCAATTATGAAGCGCAGATACACACATATATCAATGAATGCCACCAACACTCTTTCCGAACAAAAATCGTTAATGTCTTTGAATGTCATTCGGGGCCTTGTCACTCGAGGAGGCACGAACCACGAAAGTTCATGTGTATGTCAATGAACTATATGCGCCTTAATGATTCATGTTCTGTGACTGTCACGCAGTATATACATTTATACGAGGTTCAAATCCCAGCACAGCTAGAGCTGCAATGGTAGCTACGCTTACTGAAGTCGTATGATGTGTAGATGAGGTATAGGAACAATACCATGCCGCACGCATATGGACACACGTCCTCAAAAAATATCTTGAAATCCGACTCTCATTCAAATGACTATGATAGTATATGTATATAACGTAGGTGATATCAGCAATAGATGAAGAATAGGTCTGTGAATATAGGTAGTGATATTAATCATGATTCGTAAGTTCTATACATAGTTATGAGTGGCTGTTTTGCGTTGAGAAATGTAATTTTATGTGTAGATTATACGTCACATAGATGATATATTTCCATGTTACCGATTTCACGAATATAACAGTTACGATATACACACGACCATCACATATATGCGTCATCACTTACTCGTCCGTCGAGTACGTATGTCGAGTACGTATGTCACGTTATTACGATTATTTCAATACCTGCACGAACGTCCGCATTTGATGTGTGACCCTTCGGTAGCGAGAAACGACACCAGGAGCCAGGGTACCTTCCTCTCCTCCTCCTTTCCACGGGAGACACACACACGCACGCTGTTACATCTGCGCTCGCTCGACTCCGCTCGGGTATATATGCTATAGTCTTCTTCTGTGCGTGTAGCGAGCGAGCGACCAGGCCACGCGTACTACGTGCAGCGGATACGCGCCGCAAACCAGTTTGCAGTCGCGTCGGCAGTGTTTCTGTGACAGGCTCGCATTGTTTCTGGGCGTTACTCCTCGGCTCACCGCTGGGCGGCGCTGACGTAGAATGTACGTACACCCACCCTGGGGTTCGCGTGGTCGAAACTTCAGCTCGCGGCGCGCGCGTGTGAGCCAAGCACGAGTGTACGCCGATGTCACAGTGAACAAACTGCGCTCATTGTCCAGTAAGCAAACGCTTTAGCTAAATATTAATATTAATATATATAATCATATAAATATATATAACATATCAAGAGCATATTGATATCAATGACGCGAGCATCCACGAATCACACTGCACACGAAAACCAATATAGTATCTATCTATAGTATATATATTAATATATATAGTATCTATAATATGCGGGTGGCAACGATGTTGATTTAATAAGACTAACATCGCCAGGTTATTAGCAAATCACATACACATAAAATACCGTGTGAATTATAATCGCAGAATTATTAAACGAGTCTCAAATCTGATCAAGGTTCCATCTAGCTTTCTTCGCGTTTTCCCGTTAACACGTTATTCTCCGTTTAACCCTTGTCCGCCATTTCTCGTGGACGTACATTATAAATTAAATTCAGCCGTCTCGCGGTGGTACAGTTTCACTCGCGAGCCCCGCGACATTGTCACAGAAACAGGTATAAGCAGGTGAGTTCAGATGCATCGGGTGTACGTAGGAGGGAACGTGCATAGCGTGCACGCGGTGAACCGTATCTCTCTCTACTGTTCACTCCTCCTGCCCCTCTGCCCACGTACTGTGCCACCGTGCGTCGTCGGGTGCTTTAAACCCCACACCTTCGCCGACAGTGCAAGACGACTGGCCGCATCGGCAAGAGATTTTGTCCCCAACGGAAAGTGTCGCCGTCACTGGGAATCACTGTATAAGGTAGGCCGCATTAATAAGATATCACGAACTATTTGCATGCTTCGACGTTTTTTTAGTTCGGCGTATATATACGTATTATCTGTAGTATGTCAGATCCGTATTGTGGGTGCGCGTTTACAGCGGGTATAGAGCGATGGTCTAGAACTCTGGATACACACACGTCGGCGGCCATTACAGGTGGATATATACAGATGGCAGTCCAGGACGTCGTAAACATATATATATATATATATATATATATATATATATATATATAACTATTATTTATCATCAGCGCAGTATACTCACAGCTTTAAACGATTTGCGATTATAAAACGCGCAGAACAATATATAGTTTGTGTTCTGCATGTTTATGTATGATAGGCCTACGCGACGTTATTCTACATATCAAGTCTGTATATATATATATATATATGCGTGCGTGCGTGTGTGTGTGTGTGTGTATAATGCACGCAGTCACGAATAACAGTCATAATAGCGATGTATAATAGCGATAATAGCGAAGTACGTCCTCCCCTATGCCTCATCACCTACACCAATTTCTTCGGTCCCCACTTCTATCTTCAATTTCCTCTACCTCCTCAATCAGTCCCCTCCTTTCCGGCAAGTGGATTGTTAGATAGCAGGATAGATTGAAAGATATGTAGTATGAAAGGAGGGGACTGATTGAGGAGGTAGAGGATATTGAAGATGGAAGTGGGGACCGGAGAAATTGGTGTAGGTGATGAGGCATAGTGAAGGACGTAGAAGAGGGGTGTAGATGAAGGAGAGGGTAGAGAAGGTAAGGACAATGTAAAGGAGAGGTGGGTGGGAGAAAGTTGAGGAAGTAGAAGAAATGATTAAGATAAAGGCAGGCAATGAAACCGAGGAAAGAAGGTAGCAGAGGTCAAAGCGAGGAGGTAGAGGGCGTATGACCTGCTGGAAAAATCCATTATCGCCGATTTGAGCAATTTGACCATGCGCAAATCCGACTAGAACAAATGCCACCATGTAAAAATAAATATCTACATGGTAGGCCTACAGAAACAATCCCACGATGAACAATTTTATTGAGCATTATACCACTAATAAATTGCATTGATTGACCAAGTCGCGTAAACCGGAGACATAAAATCTTTGATATATAATTTCAGCTCATTTTACTGTCCCCGGTCATTGCACCAAAATTAAAATATAAATGTATTGTGTCACCATTTCCTTATAGCAGGAAGCAATTGCCGATGGCATTAATGTTTAAATATGAACACACATATGCGCCTAGAAAGCCTACATTGTTCTACTGCATATAATGTGCTGTAGGTTGTTTGTCATGCAAATAAGAAGTGAATTGACATAATATTAAGTACGGTACATTTTTTTACAACAGTTTTCATATAACTGTGATAGGAGATGCGCGGGCATAGCATAAGCTCTTACTATGAGATTACAATAGGAGAAAAACTCGTGAACAAACTTCATTCAAAGACGAAGATTAAAAATGACATATTATATATAGGTTTTTTACGCGGTCGATTTAATTCCACGAGATTACAAGCACTGCATGGGTTGCCGCCCTTATAGCTAACCGGACACGGAGTGAAGTATCACCCAAGGCAACGGCAACACCCCGTATATCCCGTATACAGAACGTATGGGCGTAACAGTTATAAAGATCTCCTGAAGTCGTACAGCCCGCACGGAGACACTAACTAACAGTCACCTTGGCACAATTTTGAAATCGGCTTTTACGTCGATAAATATATCTGAAGGAATTATGAATATATACCCGTGTACGAATATTATTAACCAGGTGAAAGACTAGGCAGGAAAATATTACAAAGTCACGGGCAATTTGAACAGAAAAAATATACAATAACACACATCACACGTTGTCGTTACAGTGATAAGCATATCAGACCCCATGGTTATGGCGCTTCACATGAAGACATGTGTACACGGTGCACTTTAGCAGAAAATTTATACAATAACACACACGTTGTCGCTACAGTAATAAGCATATCAAACCCCATCCATATGACCCTTTACATGAAGGCATGTATACACTGCGCACTATACCATTCATGCATACCTGTCCACACCTGTCTACGTAATAACAGGATCCAGCCTTGAGCGCTGCTGCTGTACGCTGTAACAGCAGCAGCGGCGGGAATGGCTAATGACGTCGCTACCATTGCAATTATTATTCTTGCGTGGCGCGAATTACGTGTCAGCGCCATAACATGATACCAGTATATTATGCACGGCAGATCGAGTTGCCCTGTAAACAGTAGCGGCTGCTTGCGTGTGTGTATGTACGAGTGTTTGTGTGTAGTTCCCGCTGATGAGCATTTTCACTCACCTGCGCGAAAGGTATATATGTAGCTACCTGAACACGGCCGTGGAAATTCTAGGCTGGTAGCGTGAAGTGAAGACGTTGTGTGTTGTTTACAAGCGAGCGGTTTGAGAGACGAGATGATATTATGATCAGATGATTTGAGGAGTGATAGTGAGATGCGCGTTTCACGTGAGTTCTATGCGTTCATTTATTGTTCATCTATTGTTCATCTATTGTTCATCTATTGTTCATCTATTGTTCATCTATTGTTCATCTATTGTTCATCTATTGTTCATCTATGTGTTCATCTATTTAGGTACTAAAGGTAGGCGGTCGGCGCTCATCTCTTTTATGTGTGTCGCACACATTTCTAACCCCATCCCTCTGATTCCTATACCCTAACTCTCTCTCTCTCTCTCTCTCTCTCTCTCTCTCTCTCTCTCTCTCTCTCTCTCTCTC